GACCACGTCTGTGGCCTCTTACCACAGTAGTAGCGGATGGGAGAGTCTGGGGTCAGCGATTAATGACTAAGCTGGAGGTCTGGTGACATTTATATGATTCTCTCATCTTCTCTAGTGAGAAATGCCAACATTATTTTCTTTGTCAATTATTTTCCCCGAGGCTGGCATCCCTGGTGGGAAAAAAAAAAGCCCTAAGGATGGGTACACTCAGGGCTCGGTCAGGAAAACAGCCATTCCAAGGTGTAGGGTGAAGGAAGGACGATTTCACGAGCCTGAGAATTGCAGGAGAGAGGGAAACGGCCACTAAGCCTGTCCAGCTGAATCTCGGACAGGGCTCCAGCTGGAGCTTTCGAGAAAACCCAGTTGTCCTGCAGAGGTGGGCACCGGCGGAGCCATGAAAGGGAACTTACGGTATGCTGCACTGGGGGCATGCCCTCTGCAGTTCCTGTGAGCCGGGGCTGCTGTGAGCACAACGAGGCGGGCACAGAGCAGGAGAACGAACGCACGTCGGGCCCTCCGAGCGTGTCCGTCATCACATGCAGCCCTGTGACGGCCCTCCACTCCCCAGTCCCCAGGGGTTCCTCTCCCTGGACAGCCATAGCCTGGAACACACAGAGATAGACGCTCTGGGGAACATGAGCCCAACCTCTGATGGAAACAGGGGGCCCTTTTGGCATTAGACAACCCAGCGCAGAATCTTTAGTTGATGAGAAGTAATTTTCTTTTTCTTCTTTTGTGGCTTTTCAGATCGTAATTCCTCAACCCAGGATTGAACCTGGGCCCTCAGCAGTGAATGTTCAGAATCCCAACCAGTGGACCACCAGGGAACTCTGGAGAAATAATTTTCTAACTAGCAGTCTCTTACAGGACATTGAAAAAGTAGGGCAGTGCTGAAGGAAAGAAGTTTCCTTCAGAGATGAACATGTCCTAGGTCAACAGTGATGGCTTGGAGAAAGGGCAAACACTCAGAGCTACACGATCCACTAACATGAAAGATCCAGTAACCACAGGCTTCTGATTTGGTTCTTTGTTGTTATTTATTTATGGAAGATGGGTAAATAGTGAAAAGTTACAAATAGTGTAAAAAAAAAAAACCTTTATATTGAGTTTGATAATGGAAATTATACCCTGGCCAGGAATGTATTAATCAAAAATTTATTTTAACTTATTTCTTGACTATGTTAAAATATAGGTGAAAGGTATACAGTATAAAGTTTATTGGTACAGTTTCTACTATATTAGTACCAAAATAAAAATTTATGATAATTAGTACATTTGAAATTTTGATATTCTGCTAGTAGAACAGGTAAAAGAGTTTTATTTTTAAAAAAAATACAAGAAAATGTGGTGGAGAGAAAGAGTTTGGTGAAGCAAGGGTCCTGTTTTTTAGGCAATTAAGAGCAAGTGTCAGTAGGTTACTTCAACAAAGTGCTATGACAGGGATTAGGCATAAAGGCACCTACCTAAGGGCACTGGGTCATACTCCCCAGAGGAGGTAACATCTGAACTGAGACCCATGTGGCCAACATTAGCAGGTGAGAGGAAGAGGGGGAGGCGTGCAGGCTCTCAAGCATTGGAGAGAGGAGTGTGCCCAGGTCCCTGGGGCCGCGGGGAGTGGGGTGGGGTGGGGCTGGATGGGTGGCAGTGGGGATGGGGTGGATGCTGGAAGACCCAGAGGAGGAGCTCCAGTGTGGTGGGTGAATGCACACAGCTGGGCTGGAGAGCTACGTAGGCGCCAGATCTTAAGAGTGGAAAAATTTTTTTGCCCACAAATGATAGCATTTCCCAAATTTACCAGATACAAAGGAAACATTGCACAAACTGTGCCATCCTGGTAGATACAGATGGGAGTACAGGAGGGGAAAGGCGTCCTCAGGGAGCAGAGAAATGGTCTTTCTTATTAATTGCTGCAGGACTTATGTGTTCTCAAAATATTTTATAAAAGCATAAAACAGAAAACAGTAGCCTACTATTTTCCTTGCATGATGTAAAGTGTGGGGTATAAGGATGAAGAAAATAAAGTTCCTGACCTCCTGGGGCTTGAAAGGGAGACAGACAATAAACAAACAAGAAAATACATTAGATGATCTATTAATTTACTGTAGGAGTCACTGATAGACCATACACTTGGAGGGGCCTCCCACAGCCCTGGTCTCGGTCAGCACTGAGTTCCAGGCCCCTTCCCTACCTTTGGACATGATACCATGGGCTGCAGAAGAGCCGACTAATAGTGGACAATTAGTTCTGGGGATTTTAGGTAAGGCTGCAGGGGGTTGATTAAATTGGATCTAGAAAGATGGGCCAAAACAAGTGGAATGGGACAGTACTTGACACAAGAAAGGGAATAAAGCAAAGTCAGTGGCTACGGGATTCTAAAACTACCATATGACTGAAGGCAGGGGAGACCCACATTTTGTAGGGCCTGAAGCTGATCACATTTGGGGCCCTTATTTAAGAGAAAGGGTAAACATTTAAGAATAGAAAATTAGGTACAAAAATATTGATTTAAAATGAGACATGCATCACAACAAGTATAACAGCCACCATAAACTTTAAAAGTATCTGGAAGAAAACATTTAATAAACCTCCTGACACACATGGATCATACTATTTTTTCCCACATTGTTTGGCTGCACACCCTCCCCCAAACTTTACTGAGGGTCTAGATTACAATGAAAAATTGTACATATTTAAGGTGTACAACTTGATGATTTGATGTACCTATATTGTGAGATAGTCGCCTGCGTGTGTGTTTTTTTGAGAACACTCAGAATCCACACTTAGTAGATGTAAGGGTACAATACAATATTGTTAACTCTAGTCACATGGGTGTGCATTAGATCTCCTGAATATATTTATCTTGCATAACTGAAACTTTGTGTCTCTGGAACACCACCTCCCCCACATCCCCCTGCTGCATGCCCTTTGACTACTTTCTCAATTCTTTAATTTTGCAATATGTAGAGAACAATGAAAACCTATTTCACTTGCTGGTGAACTTGCTGTTTGTGGTCCTCAGACAGGTTTGCGTCCTCACAAACACAGGAATTCGCATCAATTCTATTTCATGTGATTTCCTTCAAAAACGTATGGTTCCTGAATAAATGTATTTGCTGCATTTAGAGTTTATTTCTGCCAGAAACTTCCATTTTGACCAGGTATAGGTGGGAGAGCCAATATCCCTCTAACAATTGTTGTTTAGTCCTTAGTCGCATCCAACTCTTTGCGACCCTATGGACTATAGCCTGCCAGCCTCCTCTGTCCATGAGATTTCCCAGGCAAGAATACTGGAGTGGGTTGCCATGTCCTCCTCCAGGGGATCTCCCCAACGCAGGGATTGAGCCTGAGTCTCTTACATCTCCTGCACTGGCAGGTGGGTTCTTTACCATTGAGCCACCAGTGAAGCCCCCTCTAACAATACTGCGTACTTTTTGATGGAAAGAATAGCCACAAACTAGTTTCTAGCTTCAAGAAGCTACTTCCCAAACTCTAGAAAACCTTGTGTTTTTTACTGGAACCAGTGCTGGGGAAAGTGGGAGAGTTCAGATGGAAACCTGTAGGCACATTACTGGCCACCATTTCTATACCCAGATGGCAAGAAATAAGGTAACTACACAGGGGAATCAAAAATCACACAAATACATCCCATCAGTGTCAGGGCTGTGGAGAGGCAGGCCAGGTACCCAGGTGCTCATTCTCTGGGTCAGGTAATTGCAAGGTTGGTCCCTTGAATTTTGTTCCCTTGGCTCCTTCCTTGTCTGACTTTAGTCCCAGCTCTGTATCCATTAAACCCAAATGAAACATCTTTCTAAGTTCACTTTCCTTGGCTTGATGCTCAGAATATCCACTGCCACATCAAAGCCATTCAATATGAGAAGTTAGAATTGAAACAATATTGGGCTTAGTTGGTAGCGGTTAAAATATATGAATTTTTTTCATATAAATTTTTGCAAATTTTTGCAAAATTGACAAAGATGTAACCATGTGTTCACACTGCTAGGGCCCCTAGGGAGATTCTCTGCAAATGAGGGACCTGAATTCAAGCCTTCAGCCTCTTGATAAATTCACCTCTGCATTTCCACCACAGCCACACTTCCAAGGCTCAATTTATTACTCTGGCTTGATTTTGCTTTAAGGACACTGGGTAAGAAAGAACTCAGGCTCTGGAGCCCGACCGCTTGAATCCTGGCACTGCCACTCCCTAGCTTGTGAGACCTCAGCATTTTAACTAGTACCTCTGTGCCTCAGATTTTCTCATCCTGTACCCATAAAATGGGCTTTCCCAATGACTCAGAGGTTAAGAATCTGCCTGTAATGCAGGAGACAAAGGTTCAATCCCTGGGTCAGGAAGATCCCCTAGAGAAGGAGATGGCAACCCATTCTAGTATTCTTGCCTCGGAAATCCCATGGATAGAGGAGCCCGGTGGACTTTGGTCCATGGCCTTCGAAAAAGAGTCGGGCACGACTGAGAGACGAACACTTTCACCCATAAAATGGGTATAAGTAATGATGAGATGACAGTAATTAGCTCATGTGGAGTGCTTACCAGTGTCCAGCATGTAAGAAAGGCTCAACGTTTATTAGTTACTGTGACTTTTATTATTAGTATCACTATTTCTGCTCACAGTATGAGCCTCTTCTCACACCACAGCATAAATCCCTGGGGAACCTTTGCGTCTAGACTATGCCCAGAGAGGTTTCCCTGTCTTTCCGATGGATTGTTGACTAAATGTAGGAGGAAGGAGTCAGAGAAAAACGGATTTTCCCCCCTAAATAATATCAATGTCACCAAATTACATTTAAGGAGATGAAAGAATTGGGGCCATAAAGACATCTGTTGGCTCAGGACATCCTCAAGATTAAGTCACACTAACATTAACAGTGGACCTGCGTTCCTTTGCTCCCAAATGATAGATGAATACGTTAGAAGGACCAAAATCACACGATGGGCTTCGGCTGCATAAAAGTTGCCTATTAACTCTGCCTCCTTCCGACGACAGTCGCCTAGGCCCTGCACTGCGCCCTCGGGTGGAGCGCTGTGGCCTGCGAGGCAGGGACCGCTGGGAGGAGGGGGTGCGGGGCCGGGAGGAGCAGGGCCGTCGGCCGCTTGGGCGCAGGAGGCGGACCGCTAGCCCCTCGGCGGTGGCGGCAGGGTCGGCGCCGGGAAGCCGCCTTCCGCCGGCCTGGTTCCTCGGCACTGCCCAGATTGAGCATCTAGGGATCCCCCGTGGGTGTCGGGGTCCCTGTCCCCGGTCCCGCCCCAGCGCGCGCGGCTCCGGCTCTAGCGCACCGCGCGGCGCGCAGGCGGGGGCGCTGTGGGCCCGACGCCGGGACCTAGCGGCCGCCCCGCCTTCTCTCCGCGCCCGCCCCCCGCGCGCCGGGCCGCCGGGAAGCAGGAGGAGACGGCGCCGGGCCCCGCGCCGCTCGGTCCGCAGTCCTCAGCCGCAGAACGGAGCCGGCGCCACCGGAGCCTGAGCCCGGCCGGACCCACCCGACCGCCTTTGTCTGCACCGCGCGGCCGGAGCCGCGGCCCCCGAGTCGGGGACGGCTCCCCCCGCGGCGGGCGCGGGCCGATGCCCCCGCAGCAGGGGGACCCCGCGTTCCCGGGCCGCTGCGAGGCGCCGCCCGTGCCGCCCCGCCGGGAGCGCGGGGGCCGTGGGCCCGGGGCGCCGGGGGGCCGGGGGCGCGCGGGCGGTGCCGAGGGGCGCGGCGTCAAGTGCGTGCTGGTCGGCGACGGCGCCGTGGGCAAGACCAGCTTGGTGGTGAGCTACACCACCAACGGCTATCCCACCGAGTACATCCCCACCGCCTTCGACAACTTCTCGGGTGAGCGGGGCCGGGGGTGCTGGGGCAGGGGGGCCCGGGGACCCAGGGCCGCCGGGAGCGGGAGTCTCAGCCCGGGCGCGGGGAGCGGAGGGCGCCTCGCGGCTCGGGGACGGACGGCGGAGCCGCGCAGGTCGCGCCCAGGTGGCCTGATCAGTTTCCTGCGTCGAGCAGTTGCGTCAGGCCGACGTGGCTGGCGCCGCTGCCGCCTTTCGATCGGAAGGTGACGCGCAGGTGCCATTACCTGTGGCCCGAGGGTCGGTCTTTTCCAGTTAGCGGCTGCTCTCCCGAGGGCATCTCCACTTTCAAGAGCCGCGGAGAGCAGGGGCGAGAGTGGATTTAGTGAAAATGGCATTGGAGGCGCTGGGGAAGGCTAAGTTTTGGATTAAACCAGGATAGTAAAGATGACTTCTTGCCTCTGAGTCCCACCGCCCCCGTTGGCGCTGTTTTTGATTCTTAGTGTCTTTTCAGTATCTCTTAAGCTCCTGAAAGCTCTTATGTATGCGGTGCTATGTCATTTGGTTTGTAGCCACCAAGATAAAATGATCCTTCATCTTGATTTTTCAAGTCTTCATGAAATTTATGAAAAAGTTAACATCCATGGAAGCTAGAGTGAAATGCTTTCTCTTGTTCTTAAAAAAAAAGAACTTCTTGATCTTTCAGAAAGTTTTGATGGCAAGGATTTGCTTTCATCTACCTGGAAGGCACCCTAGGTAAAGCAGTGCTGTGCTGGTGGGTTTCCCACCAATAGGATTGTGTGTGTGGTGTGTGTGTGTGTGAATCCCCTTCCTTAACTGAGTAGTACAAACACTTATAAGCAATTTAGAAAGTTGTATTGAGACGAAACTGAGTGCTTCATCAAATAGAGCCCTCTGAGTAGCAGTCTGATCCTGGCCTCTCCCCAGATACCCCTTCCTAGTGGAAAAGTGGACACGGTTTCCTTTTCTCGCTTAATCCTCTCTTTGAGCTGACATGAAGAGATAAGCGGTGCCCTCCTTTATAAACAGGACAATACGGGCCGCCTGTGTTTACACATGTTCTGAAAACAAGCTGCGCTTTTGTGACAGACCCCGAAGTCACCAAACGTTTCCCAAGGGAAAACAGAGTTATTTGTGAGGTTTTCCCCTGATTTAAAACCATGAGGTTGGTTCCCTCTTACCCCCCAGTCTTGTTTTTGCATTTTTTGAAACACGTGCCACAGGAAAATAAATCTTCTGGGGTTGGGAGAAAACTCAGACCCTTCCAGGGTGCCATCAAAGGCCCTGGGCCTCTCTGCCTTCTCTGGGGGCATGAAGCGAATTGCTGGTCTGGCAGGTTTGGATTAAAAAAAAAAAAAAAAAGCTTCCATGGAGTCCCCTTGTTTTAGGCAAGTCTTGAATTTGTTGGGGCCCCAGAATAGGAGCTGAAGGGTTTGGAGTGAGAGTGTTCATACAAACTAAAATTATTGTTCTTTTGGAAAGGGTTAAAAGAGACCCTCCCCACTACTGACAGTCCTCTCGGTCTTATTTTTAAGCTGTGGTTTCCGTGGATGGGCGGCCCGTGAAACTCCAGCTCTGTGACACTGCAGGACAGGTCAGTATCACATCGATGCTCAGTGCTGGGCAAGAACAGGGCCTTTTAAAGGCCTTCAAATACTGCCCCTTCTCCTTTACTGGGCCATTCTAGGGCCCCACCCCTCCTCACAGAGGGTGGAGGTGGTGGGGACAGAGCCCCACACCAATAAAACAGGGTTTGGCACCTCTCCTTGTGGGCGGGACAAGGGAAACAGGGTCAAGGGCGGATCTTATCTTCTGGGAGTTTCTGATCTTATTTACTTTCTGGTTTTTATTAAAAATTGTCAATGATGCTTTGTACTCATGTCTCAGAGTAAATTGGCGATGCCTTATAATCATTTTATTAAAGGTCAGCAAACCAAATTCTTAAGATATTGACTCAAGAAAAAGATGGAGTTCATGTCAGTAAGTGTTAATATTTCCTTTACTAACCTAGAGGAATGAATGAACTGGGACTTGATCCTTCAGAATCGTGAACATTTATTTTTGTCTTGAGGGCCAGGCACTTGGATGAGACAGCCAGGGATGGGGAGGGCTCAGTATGAAGTCCCCTCTGGGGTGCCCCCGAAGAGCTGGGGGGCTCCAGTCCCCCTGCATGGTGCTTACATCACTGAATTCTCACTGTGTCCTCTGAGAGCCCAGGGTCTGTCCGTGTTGTTGTTTAGTTGCTAAGTTGTTTAGTCCAACTCTTTTGCGACCTGTTGGACTGTAGCCCACCAGGCTTCTCTGTCCATGGGATTTCCTAGGCAAGAGTACTGGAGTGGATTACCATTTCCTTCTCCATTGATCTTCCCGACCCAGGGATCAAACCTGCATCTACTGCATTGCGGGTGGGTTCTTCCCCGCTGAGCCAGCAGGGAAGCCCCTAGGGTCTGTCTTTAGAGCTTGCCAAAGCCACAGTTAACAAGCATGTATTTTCTCCAGTACTGGCTAGAGTTTGAGAAAGTGCTGGGGTAATTTATCGACAGATAAAAGTGTTCACTTCTTTCAAAGATGTCATATGACCACCTACACTTAAGAAGTATCTGACTTTCCAGTTTCCCTAAGAGCCTTCTCCAAACCAGGGCTTCTTAGTCACTTACCCACTCCGGGACAGCAAATTCAGGGCTGTGTTTTTCAAACTTCAAAGTGACACAAGACTGGGCAGCCCCGATCCCCAGCTGAACATTGGTTTGGCAGTGGCCACAGGGCGCATGTCATAGCCCAGCTGCCTCTGCTGTCTCCTTGCCCTTCTACTGGAGCAGGAAAAAAATAAAAAACCAAGCAATCTGTATTTTATTGCATATGAAAGAGAAAAATCAAAGAACATATATCCTTCTCATACTTAATCTTTCTGGATGCCCTGCTGCTATTTATAATTAAAGCTTAATTGCTTTGTATAAATAAAAAATGTTTTTCCTACCTTGGGTCACATTTTCTGATCTTTACACTGAAGGTTGGGTAGCACCTCAATAAACAGGCCTCCCTGCTGAAGCAAGAAGTGGCAGTTGAAGAGTCCGAGAATAAGAAGAAGGCAGGAAAACTCAAGAAACCAAAGGGCATGCCTATCTGGGGCCCTTTAGGGAGGAGCAGACAGCCCAGGGCAGGCAGCTCCCACCACTGGCTCACCTGTCAGGTTCTGATGGCAGACACAGCTTCCTGGGCTGGAGTTCCCTGCCTCATGCCTGGTTGGTGCCTGGCCCATAGTGGAGTTTGCTTGTTTGTAGACTGGATTGATAAATAAATGGAGTCCTGGGTCCTGCAAACTTAAGTCATGGCCTGCCCCTTGACGGACTATAGTCCGTGGGGGAAAACAAACCACTTAGTATTGGATTGGCCAAAAAGTTGATTTGGATTTTCCAGTAGGAACTTACAGAAAAACCCAAATGAACTTATTGGCCAACCCAATAGAACTTGTGAAGAAATCAGCGAGGTTACAGGAGGAGGAAGGCAACGTTGGTTTGAGGGACAGGATGGGTAGACCCAGGAGGAAAACCTCTGAGCAGTTTTGGAAGAGGATTAGGACTTTTACCAGGAACACTTTGTAAGAAATGATCCAGAATTACCAAGGAAGAGTTTGATTTTTTTTCCTTAGTGATCTGTTTCAAAGTTAAGGAATCACAAGAATCATTTTAGAAATGGTTTCATGAGAAAGCTTATAATTTGGGAAATGAAAAGGTTTCAGTGCAAGTTGGTACACTTTGGTTTACTTGGAAATTTTCCTTCTGGTCTCTCAGCAGTGTTTTTGTTGAGATTCACTGTATTTCTTACCTGATGGAGTGGTTAGTATGCATAATAGTGTAATGTGTGAGGTCACCATCTACAGATTTACAGAAAACCACATCTTCAAAAAAACCATCTTCAAAACTATGAAAAATACACAGCTAGGGCTTTCCTGGTGGTCCAGTGGTTTAAGACTCTGCTCCCCATGGAACTTTGCTCGCTGTTATGTGTCAGCCTGGATGGGAGGGGGTTGGGGGTAGAATTGATACACATATTTGTATGGCTGAGTCCCTTTGCTGTTCCCTTGAAACTGTCACAACATTGTTTATCAGCTATACCCCAATACAAAAAAAAAGTTTAAAGTTTGGGGGAAAAAAAGACTCTGTGCTCCCAATGCAGGGGGCCTGGGTTTGCTCCCTGGTCGGGGAACTAGATCCCACATGCAACTAAAGATCCTGCATGCCACAGCTAAAACCCAGAGCAGCCAAATAAATAAAAATAAATTAAAAAAATACACAACTGGTGAGATAAAGTCAGTTTTTTCCTGGCTCCCCAGCTATCAATTAGTATTTGTTTCAACCATTAGTAAAACTGGACAAGGTGATAATCTTTTCCTATCCTCCCTACTCCAGATCTGATAACCTCCCTTTTTAAGGGACTTGATTTGACACCTGCCATGTTTCCAGCCTGTGGTGGCACATCCCCCAAGCGGTCATCCTGGTAGCTTCCTGGGGATAAAGTGACTCAAGCTGCCTCCTTTCCAAACACTAGGAAAATGTGGACACAGGTAGCTGTTGCCTGGGGATCAGACATAAGTTTCACATAGCAGCTGAGAGCTGGAAAAATAACTAGGAATTCCTTCTTATGCCTTGGGACCTTCTTGGGGGCCTGGTGTGCATATAAAATATTAAAGGGAGTTTTTAACACTGGACTCATTATGGAAATTTCACTGATCAATTTCACTCCGGTGGAATTTCACTCAGTTGATCAGACTGCAGTAGCCTGTCCAATAGCAGGTGAAAACTCTTCAGCCTTCTGACTCATGAGGCACCTGGGAAAATCTTTATACTTTAAAAAAAAAAAAAACTCCAGTTGCTGCTAGACCGGTGCGGCTGTCCAGCAACCTGTCAGCCCCACCCAGCCCTGCCCTGAATCCCAGGCAAATCTCTGGGTCTCAAAACTCGTTTCTCTAAGGGTCCATTCCAACTGGACTCGTCACACGTACGTGTGCGGCATTTATTTCTGCAAATAGCTAAGGTTTCTGGTCAGGCGGTGAGCAGCAGGGTTTAGTTTCTGCTTTGCTTCCTGAGTCCCTCAGCCAGAACCTGCAGAAGTCTGGGAGCCAGGTTGCCGAGGCCATGCCCCAAGGCCCAGGGCTGGTTTGCTGTTCTTTTTATTGATCCAGGGCCCAGCCAGGCATGATGCCTGCCAGCAGTGAGGGCAGAGACTGTCCTGTGCCTCTTTCTTGCAGGCCGCTGAGAACGGAGGGAACGTTTCGTTAGAAGATCCTCGGGGTGGGGCTGCTGGCCACCTGGTTGGGCTTCTGTGTTTCTTCTTTCAGCACAAAGTTGGCACTGAGAAATCCAAGACTTTATTTTTTTTTTCTTTTTAACTTTTGCATATAGTATGTGGAGAATTGGCAGTGACGTGGTGAAATGCCGAATTCCTTCCTGAGGATTTAGCTGGTCAACTTCAATATTGTCACTTGGTCATCGCCCTACAAACTGAAATACAGGGCCTCAGATGAGGCACATAAACTCAAAAGATCCAGGCTTTCTTCATCCCTAGAAAAAGTCCACAGATGCAACAAAACATGCATGTAAATAATAGTTTGTAAATAATCATAAGGGCTTCCCACGTGGCTCAGTGATAAAGAATCTGCCTGCCAGTGATGAGCCACAGGAGATGTAGGCTCAGTCCCTGACTTGGGAAGATCCCCTGGAGGAGGGCATGGCAACCCACTCCAGTGTTCTTGCCTGGAGAATCTCATGGACAGAGGAACCTGGTGGGCTATAGTCCATAGGGTTGCATAGAGTCGGATGCGACTGAAGCCAGTTGGCATACACACATGCATGTCCCTGTAAGGACTGAGGCCATGTGTGTCTGTTCCCAACCAAATCCCCTAGGTCTGGTGTCCAGTGTCCAGAGTCCTGGGTGCATCTCTGTTAGTGAATGTGCACAGTGAGGCACTCAGCAGGGTGATGGTTGGTTTATATAATCAGCTCTGACTTATTCCATTCAGTTCTTGGAAGTAGGATGGGTATGCCCTTTCTCTGGTCCTATATCTTCCCAAAGCATCATTCCTGGAGGCCTCTGGGGTTCATGGAGAGAAAATAAGGGGAGGGAAAGTAAGAGAAAAGGAAGGAGGGAGAAAAAGATAAAGTGAGATAAAAGGTGTATCCAGCAAGTATGAGAATGTATTCACTTGTGTTGTAAGTGACATTGAGAGGCACGCATTCTCTGGGTCGCTGTGAGAGTGTCCGAGCCTAGGTCCTCAACTCCACTCTTGTGTCTGAGTCCCATGATTCTGCACCAGTTGTGCCCTGAGTATGCACGGCACAGATGGGATGAAGCGAGCCAGGCTCACAGCTGCCATGAGGATGGGCAGAGCTGCTGAGTTCACAGACTGGGGCTTCCTGGGGTCTGGGTGAAGCCCCGAGGATCAGTGTGAGTGCCATCTACATTTTAAAAGCCTGACTAAGTACCGGAGTTGAAGCAGTAAATCTGAGTTACTCTGGCCTGAAGGCTAGAGAAAGTAAACTTTATTTTGAAAATCCATCTAACATAAGGACTTTTTCTACAGTAAGTTGCAAGCAGGTCCTGAGCAGTGAGGAAGGTTTTTGGGCAAGTTTTGCAGAGCTTGGAGTGAGGCCCCGCTTTGGCAGCAGGGCCCTTTATAGGACTCTGGTTCTTCCTTCCACCGCCTGTGGGCTTTCTGTTACCTGCCAGACCCTTTCCAGAAAAATGTTCAAACGGTCTCTGTGCTGATGAGAACTGATGTGAAAGATAACATCTGGGTGCTTGACTCCCTTGTAGGATGAGTTTGACAAGCTCCGGCCTCTGTGCTACACCAACGCCGATATCTTCCTCCTGTGCTTCAGTGTCGTGGGTCCCTCCTCCTTCCAGAACGTCAGTGAGAAATGGGTGCCAGAGATCCGGTGCCACTGTCCCAAAGCCCCCATCATCCTTGTGGGGACACAGTCGGACCTCAGAGAAGACGTCAAAGTCCTCATCGAGCTGGACAAGTGCAAAGAGAAGCCGGTACCCGAGGAGGCGGCCAGGTTGTGTGCCGAAGAGATCAAAGCCACCTCCTACATTGAGTGCTCGGCCTTGACTCAGAAGAACCTCAAAGAGGTCTTCGATGCAGCCATTGTGGCCGGCATTCAGTACTCGGACTCCCAGCAGCAGCCAAAGAAGTCCAAGAGCAGGACTCCCGACAAGATGAAGACCTTGTCCAAGTCCTGGTGGAAGAAGTATTGTTGTTTCGTATGATGCTGATGGGGACCCCAGCGGGCTGTGTTCCAACAAAACCCACACTAGAGGCTATATTAGCTGAAATGACTCTTTGACTGTGTAGGACCTGAATAGCGAGTGTGTGTGTATATGGATTATAGGAGGTGCTCCAATTTATGTTATTCTTTCTTGCCTTTGACCTTCTTGTTTGTTTGAGCTGAGGGATGAGATACTTATGCAAGATATCTTGAAGTAAGTTAAGAAGTTTTCATAACTCTGGAAATATAGAGCTTTAGACCTTTTGATTAATTTATATCTAATATGAAAAAGGCACACCTTTGCTATGAGATAACACACAGAAGAACAAAGAGGAAATGGTGTGGTTAGCCATCCCTTCCCTGAAGGCTGGCTATGATCAGAGTAACTCAGCTTTGAAACCTCATACTTTTTTCCCCTTTATTTTAAGGGAAAAAAATCTGAGGAAAAAAAAAGATTTCTGCCTGTAAAACCTCAAATCAGACACTTTGGTTATATTCTTTTACTCCATTGCTTAAGACTTAAAAACAACCAACAGAAAACATCCCACTGACAATGGTCCTGTGTAGACCAAAAAGGAAAAATTGTTGATGGGGGTTTTTCATCGTGAGATCATGTGAACAGCCAGAATGCCATGAGGAGTACAGTGGCAGCCCGGAGCTCTCTTTTCTTTAGGGAACAACTCACATTGAGATCAGAGTGTGATGTTTGCTGTCATGCACGTGAGCCAAGCTGCCTGAACCTGTATGATGACAGCACTCAGGAGACCTGCCTGGATTGGTTCTAAACTTCTGGGCCTTCCCTGCCCCATCTTCAGGGAAATGAACACTAGCAGGGCTGGAGCAGGCAGGTGTTTCGGGAAATGAAACAAAATGTCTTTTTTTTTTTTTTAAGTCAGCCCAAAGGTACTTCTTTGTGTACACACATGAGCACAGATATATATGTAGCTGGTCTTGCTGCAGATTCAGACTTTTAACTATGGGAAAAAAAAGGCGTGGCCACAGGAACAGCTGTGATGGAAGCCTGGCTTCCTCTTTTAACACTTTTTAGAACAGAACTCTTTTTAATGATACCTGAGATGTGATTCTAAGTGTATCTTCACACATTATGGAGCCCATGTTAAAACTTGTACATCTCTTAGAACCTGTTTTAAAATGAATGCCTCTTCAAACCTACTAAACCCACAGATACCTCTCAGGAGCTGGCCACAGAGACAGTGTGTAGGTCAGGGGCCGTGGAGTTGGCGGTGGCCGGGACCACAGTACCCTTGCTCACACTTTCTACACTGTAGAGCAGTCAGAAAACCACAGACTGTGACATATTTGTGTTGTTCCAGATGGTGGCTTTTAGGGATTCATGTTCTGGGGGAAAAAGTGCCACATCCGGGGAGCAGGTTTACTTTGGGATTGGGTTGCTTCTGAGATACTGAGAAGTAGCTGAAGGCGAGATGTGATGTCAGGCTTGCAATGGTGATGCAGCTCTACCAAAATCTACCAGTAACTGGGGAAATTTCTCTAGTGCCCACAGGTAGAGGAGTTTATCTTTCTGTGGATCTTGTCCTTTTTATATTAAAAAAAATCCAATTTGTGTTTCTTCATATAAAAAGTAAATGATCAGGCTATACTTTAGGTTAGGGGCTTCTTTTTTCTGTTAGTAAATAAAATTAACTAATGTCTTCATTTAAAAACTGAAATACATACTGTTTACTATTTATTTTTCAGTACATTGAAATTGATATCATAGTGTCCTGAAGCATTTAGTCACAACCTGAGTGAATAAAATGACTCCATTTGTGGAAATGCCCCAAATGGACCCAATGAAATGCATCTGAAGCTTGGTGCTTGGTTCATGAACTCGTGAACTTCCCAGATGGGGCTCTGCCCGCCGTGGTGTGGAGTGGGGTGAGGGAGGGCTATCTGACTGGTAAGTGATTTCAAACAGTATTTTTATATTAAAGCAAATGTCATGGAGTACAATGCAAGTTAATTTTTAAGACCGAACACAAAACTTGAAAGAAATTTTATGCCTGTGACAGCATGTGGGGTCACTCTTGGTCCACTGGAGTGGGGAGCCTTTGCCACCCTCTGCCTCTAGGACCACTGATGGCCAGTGGTTTGTGAGGAACAGCTTTGTGGCCTAGGTTCTAGAGCTTTACTCAAGTGTTTTATTCTTAACTTAGCTTGATTAGAGCTAATCAATTAGCTCTAATCAGCTGTCCCATTAGAGCTAAAAATCTAGAAGGTTAACATTGAAATGCAACAGGTTTTCATATGTTGCCAAATTTGTAAGAGTACAGGTGGGACTGTAGTTGACATTTTCATCCCTTTTTACTTCATAATGAAAAGGGAGACTTGGTCAGAAAATTTTTTTTTTTGGCTGCACTTTGCAGGATCTTAGTTCCCCAACCAGGGACCAGGGGTTGAACCCGTCCCCTTTGCACTGGGAATGCAGAGTCTTAACCCCTGAACTGCCAGGGAAGTCCCCAGAATGTTTTAAAAGTATGTGCTTGAGTTTTTTATTTACTTCCAAGCTCAAGTGTTGTTAAATTTACAGCTTGATATTATTGCGTAGGAGACTATCAAGAGTTGTGCTTTGGGAAATGCCCTGCGTTAAGTTGCGCAGGCCAGTCATGATGTAAAAATACAGGGTCCACCCTTTTCACCAAGTGTGTGGAAATGAACCTTTTGTAATGTTGATTGCTGTGCCTGACAGACTTAAGAGAAATTTCTAAGCTCTTACACAGGGCAGGTCTTCTCCCCTAAGTCATGCTTTTCTTTTTTTTAAGCATAAATGATGGTGAGCAGAACACTCATTTTGAAGATGCTCTCCAGGTGGTAGCAAACAAATTCTGACCTATAGCTCTTAGGGCACCTGCCTTTTCTACTAAAGAATTTCTCTGGAAGTGAAGAGAACATAAGGCACGTGGAGAAGCAGGCCCCAGAGGTGTCCTGGGAATGTGTCTCCGGCCAACATTAGATGCCTCTTCAGGGTGGGGGGTGAGAATTCCAGGGCTACGGCTGACACGAGCAGCCTCTGGATCTTCATGTGTGAGGGGCCGAGTGCTGGCCTCCATCCCTATTCTCGGAGCCGAGCCCAGGCTCAGCAGCGCTGAGTGCGGGGTGACGCTGAGGGCACAGAGGAGCCTTGGTTTCCTCCTGTGTGGACAGGGCTGCCCTGTTCACTGGGCTGTTGGTGTCCTGGGTGACAGCATGTGTGCACATGCGGGGTGAGCGTCCAAGGGTTGCAGTGGCCGTGGGGGGTGCGCTGGGCCCCGCCAGCTTCACAGCAGGGCTCCGGATCCCTCATCTCCAGGGGTTGGACAGCACTCCTGTTCACCTAGTGAAGGGCAGTTCAGTCTCCTTTGTTCCTTGTGTTGCCTCTGATCTCAGGGTATGGTTTCTTTGTATCCCCTGACCAGTCAACCACAATGGACTGGAAAACTGGGCAGAGAGCAACTCAACCCATTGCCCATCTGCTTGTGTTCCAGAGTGCTGAAAGGCAGCGAGCCTCCTGGCCTCCATGGGCAACCTGACCCTTGCCCAGAGCAGCCTGGAAGTCTCTCCTCCCCCAGTCCCAGTCCCATCTCCCTTATCTGGGACAGGCCTTCCCAGGATACAAGGAGAGAGTTCCCAGTCCCTCAGAGTTCAGAATGTCTCCACAGAGATGACCTGAAAGGAGGGGAGAAAAGTTTTCTAAAATGAATAGCCGCTGCAAAGGCCCTGAGGCAGAGGAGCGTCTGGCCTGTCCTGGGGGCCTGTGCAGGCAGGGGGTTGGGGATGCCGTGATCTCAGGGAGAGGCAATGGGCCCTGCGGTCAGGCTGTTTGGGCTTGAATCCTGGTTCTGCTGCTTCCTGGTTGTGGTTCCTTAAGTAGCTTAACCTCCTAACCTCTCTGTGCCTAAGTGTCACGTCAGCACAGGGGCAAGTGTGGCGCCTGCCCCGGTGGCTGATGGGTTGTTGTATATAAAGGTTACAGGGGCCCATAAGCCCTAGGAAACATCCACTCATTTTTTTGTAATGTCTTCTGGGCAAGACACACAGTTGATTCAACTTGGCGACAGGCCCCTAAAGGCTTTCATCTTCATTTCTGTTAAATTTTATGAGGCTTATACTTTTTATGCTTAATAACAAATTCATTTTTCAATTTCCACTCATTTTTATAGAAGAGAGAAATACTTCAGTTACTCCAGGTACATGGCACAGGGTGAATGGGTGGGCGGCAAATGTGCTGGCTCCTCACCCCTGGCTGGAAGGTGGCAAGACCCAAGACTATGATCAGAGCCCTGAGGTAGCCTGGGGTGTCGAGCGAGGCTGGCATTGGGTGTGGGGCCCTGCATTCCCAATCTGGCTGGGCCTCCCTCCACCTGCTTCACTTGGGAAGGCCTTGTCCAGCCAAACGCACTCTTGTTTTTGTGCTCTTTTGAGCCATTTCTAGAACCTTTGTTTATTGGAGTTACCAACTGCAACATCCCCTGTCACCCCAGGAAGCATCCACCCCTAACAATGAAACCAGGTCCTGAAGAGGTGGGTCTGCATATAACGGAGGTGCATGGGTGGGAACAAATGCTCCTCCTAAAAGGAGGCACATTCCTGGGTAGCATCTCCTCTCAGTCCCCTCTAATACCCCATGGTCACTTCAGAATTAACTCACTGTTGGGGTTGTTATGTTACAAACGATGACAAACTCAGTGGCTTTAGAAAAGTGCAGATTTCTTACCTCTGGTTCTAGAGGTAAGATTCTGAACTGGGTCTCCCTGGCTGAAGTCAAGTAATGGTCGGGGCTAGGGTCCTATGTGCGGGTGTGGGGGGACTCATCCTCTCCCTTATTGGAGCTCTGTGCTCACCTGTGTTCCTTGACTTGGGGGCTTCCTCTACCTTCAAAGCAGTGATGGCCCGTTAAGTCTTCCTCACGTGGAATCCTGCTGATGCTCCGACCTCCCCTTCCGCATCTTTTTGTATCGAGTTGACCCAGAGGGTCCAGGGTGATCTCATCTCAGGGTCAGG